GTTCTAGAAGGTTCTAGAATGTTCTAGAAGGTTCTAGAATGTTCTAGAAGGTTCTAGAATGTTCTAGAAGGTTCTAGAATGTTCTAGAAGGTTCTAGAATGTTCTAGAAGGTTCTAGAATGTTCTAGAAGGTTCTAGAATGTTCTAGAAGGTTCTAGAATGTTCTAGAAGGTTCTAGAATGTTCTAGAAGGTTCTAGAATGTTCTAGAAGGTTCTAGAATGTTCTAGAAGGTTCTAGAATGTTCTAGAAGGTTCTAGAATGTTCTAGAAGGTTCTAGAATGTTCTAGAAGGTTCTAGAATGTTCTAGAAGGTTCTAGAATGTTCTAGAAGGTTCTAGAATGTTCTAGAAGGTTCTAGAATGTTCTAGAAGGTTCTAGAATGTTCTAGAAGGTTCTAGAATGTTCTAGAAGGTTCTAGAATGTTCTAGAAGGTTCTAGAATGTTCTAGAAGGTTCTAGAATGTTCTAGAAGGTTCTAGAATGTTCTAGAAGGTTCTAGAATGTTCTAGAAGGTTCTAGAATGTTCTAGAAGGTTCTAGAATGTTCTAGAAGGTTCTAGAATGTTCTAGAAGGTTCTAGAATGTTCTAGAAGGTTCTAGAATGTTCTAGAAGGTTCTAGAATGTTCTAGAAGGTTCTCGATCATACGTAATTCCTAGAATCGAGCGCAGAATTCCCGGAATGTGACGCAAAATTCCCGGAATCGAGCAAAAATTCTTGGAATCGAAGGTTCTGAAGATGTCACTTTCAGAAATCGTAGAGCTCACGACGGCAACTTAGCACGGACACCCACCTTCGAAGGCTCTGGAGTGTCGGTATTATGTCGGTGCAGTAATCTATATCCAGAACTCCCAAACTTATACTACTTAGAAAACTTTTTTGTGGCTTTACAATAATGTGTATGAGTATCAAAATTGTGTAAAATAAGATTAGAGTTACTGATACTTTCATATAAATATTCACCTTGTTTATTACTTGATTCGCAGTTCCAACTAATGTGGTGGACATTAAAATGGCCCATCAAAATGGAGTGTTTATTATTTTTAACATTTTTAATAATAGTATCCCATTGCAACTGAGAAAGTTGGCCTGGTGCTCTATAACAAAGAATTATTTCGATCGGTTCTTTTAAATTAGTAATAGTCAAACCTACTAATTCAACGGTGCTATCCGGGCTCGAAAGTTGTTGATTCTCCGTGTAGGCTTTTTTATTTTGAGATGTTTCATTAACTTTAGGTTTCTTGAGCGATGGTTTTTTGAAGTCGGAATTTTCGGTTACATCTTTGGGTTGAGTGTTACTGAGAAGTTTCGAAGCAGAATCAAGGGAGCTAGAAGAAGCAGTAGACGACGGGGCTTGCCTTTTGATAGCTTTGTTTTGGTTTGCTGTATCCTTTATTGCAACTTCGTCGTCAAACTCAGTTGTCTCCATAGATTCTTGATTTGTATTCGACAATGGAAAAATTTGTGTAGAATCAGCAGTGATGTTCGGGCAGTCCACAGCACGGTGTCCGCCTTGTTTACAAGTGTAGCATATAGTTGGTGCGGTAGTAAGGTAAAGCCAGTATTGCGTGCCTTCTCCTTGGATAGTGAGGCTCTCTGGTATTACATCATCCTCTTTGATGTACATTAGTCGTCGAAATGATTGTATATGTGAACGATTAAGCTTAGAGAGACTAGCTCGTATATCTGTGATGCTTGATATCGGCTTAATACCTTTTTTCTTTCAACGCTTGTAGAACCTATTTGTTATTACAGGACTGACATTAGATATAACTACTCTTTTGTTTTTCGCAATGAGAGGCCTAATTTTAAGCGTATATTGTTTAACGTGAATAGTTTTATTAATAACTTTATTGGCATTTTCTTCGGTATCAAAAAACACAAAGACACGCTTACCGGAAATTTTTGAAATATACCTAATATGTGCTGGATCAATGATGTTCTCCAAACCATCAATGTAGTCGTCGTTGGTACAGTTTTCCATGGAATCTATTATAATAGCTTGTTCTTTCTTAGGCCTCATTTCAGTAGCGGTGGCTCCAGCGTAGGACATTGGTGTGAGTGAATTATTCTCCATTTCAGTGATTTCGTCTGTTGACTGTGAGTTGAGTGGGAGTACGTTGAGTTGAGATTTTTCATTTAGGTTGGTTTTTTGACTACCATCTGTGGGGGTGGCTTGGTTGGTTGGAAGCATTTCAGACTGCAAAAGCAGCTTGAAAGCTTGGTGAAACGTATATTATATAGCGTGCCAATACAAGTGGCACCTATTAAAAGGAACACTGTATACACCATAACTCACTATACACTCGCGTCCTATGTTTGCATACAGAGCTCCCAAAAACACGTCCGTTCGCCTCGACTGCTCGAGCCGAACTCTGAAGATAATCTTATACCATACTGCGTATTCACATTAGCCTGCGTATCGGTACTATTGCTATACTTCTTTTTTTTTTCTCTTTTTTTTTCCTCTCCTCTGTTCTTTGTCTACACGCACCCCACAGATACGAGACGATCGAAGTGTTACAATTAACTTAATTGCAGTACTATAACGCTATATACATTTATAAAAACTACTGAACAAGCAAAAAAAATCTGTGATACCAACAAGATATAGAATAAGTAACAAGCTAAGACTGAGATGTAGACCCTCGGGAGGGGTTTGTTCTCCCGGGGGCAAATATTTGATTTATATCAATAAAGAATTTCGTATCTGTTCTTATCAGCTTAATATCTGATACGTTTCCCATTAGGAAACCAGAATATTAAACTGATTTTTGGAACTTAGCGGAGTGACTGGGGCTTGCTCCGGCTCTGCCGCGGGTTGGCCTAGTATTGCAATACATCCCCCCCCCCAGGTGTCGCCACCTGGCCGTGGTGGGGGGGGGGCCTGCGAGGCCTAATGACCCTCTGTGGCTATGCCGGCGGGAGCCTCAGCTCCCGGCAGGTCCTACCAAGCCGGACAGGCACGAGGCGAAGGTCCAGACGAAGAGCGACACGCCCACATAGAATGACATGTACGACGAAGGAGAGAATAAGTTTACGGAGCAGGGGAGGGACACCCCAGTTCCGGTCGTTGACAGTGCTCGAGCGGGCTGTCAGCGACCGTCATCCTGTTACCGCAAGATAGACAGGGAGAAGATATTCCCTGTAACGGAGGAAATCCCGGATCCTTTCAAAAGGAGGGAATCTATTCCAAGATCCCCTCCCTGTGGTAAACAAAATAGTGGTGACCAAATACTCATCACCAATATGAGAAGCATAAGTGCGCGGGAAGACGCAAGTGCCAGTGCGAGTGACAGTGCTAGTGTCAGTGTCAGTGATAGTGCGTCTCTCATGGCCTACTGCAGGAAAGCGCCTACTACCGGGAGCTCCACACATTGCTCTGCACCGACAGATGTAAGGGGGAAGCTATGGGCCGGGAGTACACCGCCACAGAATCCGCCAAAAGAGTGTGGGGACGGGACCCCACTTACAACACTCGGAGAAAAACCTACAGACAGCAACGACAAGGATATGCGTCATGAAAGGGAAAAAACCATACCACTGGATAGCTCCAGTCTATCCTCTGATCAGGAAGGACCAGAGGCTGAGACAGAAATTGACCCCAAGAACTTAAACTCCAGCAGCGAACTTATGGAAAATGGGAAAAGGGCGAAGCTATTACAACATTGCAGGACAAACTACATAAAAAAGAAAACCCAGGCCGAAAACAGCAGTGGGTACGAAGATGAAGAAGAGGAAGAAGCCGATAGAAGGGCCAGATTGGAGCTCAAGATCGCCAAAGCTGAAGACATAAGAAGACAACATCAAGAGGAAGACAACAGGAAAAAAACCAAAGAGGCAACCATAATGCAGGGGAGCAAGGCGGGAAAGCTGCTGAAGAGGCAAGACCGGACACAGCTAGACCTAGCAGACCTGAAACTGCCCTCTGAAGCAATAAAGGAAAGCCTGGAGAAAATCCGCGAAGTAGGCCAAAAATCAGGCAACTTGAAGGGCACATACGTCAAAATGTTAAAAGACGCAGCGACTGGAATTAAGAAAGCCGTCACTAGACTTATAGCGCAGCGGCCAGAAATGAAATCTGATGCGATAGATAGACTCGAAAGAGATAATACGAAACTCTGCAACGAAGTCAAAAAACTTAGAAGGGAAGTGGCTCAGCTAAGAGCAGAGGCGGTGACTAAACCACAGCCGATGCCCTTACCGCAAAAACCAAGCCATTCACTTCTGTCGCAACCACAAACGACGCCGGAAGAACAGCAGAAGCAGAAACGGCAGCAAAGCTACGCGAGCGCTCTGTCCTCACAGACAATACCAGCAAGCGTGATGGAGCAACCCCGACTTATGATCTGCACGCAAATCGAAACGACGATGGAGGCTAAACTTCATGACTTTGAGGCGAAACATTTCAACGCACTAGTCCCACAGAGAACTCCCTCACAGCAGCTAAATGGGACTAATAAAACTGACACACCAAAAAGGGAAGACAGCAGCATAAAAAGCCATCCTCAGAGCAAAGTAACTGAGCAAGAATGGACAATGGCTAGTGGCAAAAAGAAAAAAAAAGATAAGAAGAGAGAGGGCACCAGCAATGTAGAACACAACACTGCTACGGGTCAACACATACAACCACAAAGCCAACAACGGGAACGGGAAAGAGTTATCACTCCAAGGACAAATACGTACAGCCTAAACCAAAATAGGCAACACATGAAAAAGGCAACCCTTAAGCCTCCCTCAACCTCGGCGGTTGTTCTTACAATCACCGAGGAAGGGAAAGCCAAGGGCGTTACATACGCCAAAATTCTCGAAGAAGCCATGTCTAAGATATGCCTTGAAGATCTGGGCATAACCAGTATGAAGATAGAGTCTACAGTCACCTCAGCAAGGAAACTTCTAATCAAAGGATCAGACAACAAGAATAACGCGGGAAAGCTAGCAGAAGCTCTCAGAACACAGCTCGATGAAACCGTCGTGAAGATAACTAGACCGGAAAAGCGAGCGGAACTCCGTATAGTTGTCCTGGACGACTCAGCAAATGTAACAAATATAAAGAGCTCTGTTGCTAAAGCTGGGGGCTGTTCAGCCGAAACAGTCAATGTCGGACCCATTGTGAGAATACACCGAAGGCTAGGTATGGCCATTGTGAGTTGCCCAATCGCAGCTGCAGCCATAATAACAAACGCTGGTCGACTGACAGTTGGATGGGCTGAAACGAAAGCTATACTGCTTAAGGCCAGACCCATCAGATGCTATAAATGCAGAATCAAGGGACATGTCGCAACCAACTGCGAATCAGGCATTGACCGCAGCGACGAATGTTATAGATGCAGCAAAAATGAGCACAAACATAAAGACTGTTCAGCAGAACCGCACTGCAATGTGTGCTACGACGCAGGCCAAACCGCCTGCCACGCCATGGGCAGCACGGCAACATGTCTGGCCGCAATACAGGGAACCAGGAACACAGGCACGCCATATAGAATGGTACGCGCCAAACTAAGGAAATCCGCTCCACCACTTACACAAAGTATGGATCCAGAACATCTAGCTACGGTGGTGGAAGGATTATTTCCACAGGGTGAACCGCATCAACCACCTAAGATGACGAAGACGATGCAGCCTGCCCAGGCGGATAAGGCGGCCACAGCTCCGGAGATCTCGCACGACGAACTACAAAAGGCAATTCACAAAATGAAGAGGAAAAGCACCGCCCCTGGCCCTGACGGAGTACCAGGAAAAATATGGGCGATAGCCATAGAAAACCTGGGCGAAGTAATGCGTGACCTCTTCAACCACTGCTTAATGGCGGGGGTTATGCCGAGGCAGTGGAGAACCGGCAAGCTGGTGCTCATACAAAAGCCAGGACGAGATCCTGCCCTGCCATCGGCGTACCGACCGCTGGTACTGCTCGACGAGGTAGCTAAACTCTTTGAGCGAGTTGTAGCTGGCAGACTCCTTCAGCATATGTCCCAGGAAGGACCAGATCTCTCGGAAAGGCAATATGGCTTCCGACAAGGCCGCTCTACTATTGACGCGATCAAATACGTCAAAAAGAGAGCCAAGGAGGCTACGAACAACAAAGATGTGCTGCTGGCTATTTCACTCGACATCAAGAATGCTTTTAACACCTTACCATGGGAGACGATCATGGAAAGCATTAAATACTTCAACATCCCGGATTACATTACAAAAATAATCGCCGCATATCTAAGCGACAGATGGGTGGTGTGCCCTGCACGAACAGATGTGATGAGGCGCAAGATGACCAGGGGGGTTCCTCAAGGCTCAATCCTTGGACCACTCCTGTGGAATATAGGGTATGATTGGGTTCTACGAGGAAAGAACCTCCCTGGTGCAGAGGTCGTATGTTACGCAGACGACACGCTGCTCCTAGTCAGAGCCAGGACACTTAGAGAGGCCAAAACAATAGCAGGAGTGGCAGGTTCACATATGATCCAGAGAATAAGAAGAGTTGGAGTTGATGTGGACCTACAAAAAACGGAAGCTGTACTATTTCAGGGCCCGCGCTAAGGACCCCCAGCAGGTTCAGGGATAACCATTGAAGGTAAGACTATTCCATTATCCAAATCAATAAAGTACCTGGGACTTAGGCTGGATCCCAGATGGAATTTTGTGGCTCACATGCAGACACTCGAGGAGAAGCTCATGAAAGCCGTCGAAGCTTTCAGTAGAATTCTGCCTAACCTGACAGGCCCTAGTGCCTCATGTAGGGAATTATACTCTGGAGTCATTCGCTCCATGGCGATGTACGGAGCTCCAGTCTGGAACGATGCACTACAGGAAAAAACTGTCATGATCCTACGCAGGCCACAACGTGTAATGGCCGTACGGTTGATCAGAGGCTACCGAACGGTTAGCCTGGAAGCTGCCTGTGCCCTAGCGGGCTCCCTACCTTGGGATTTGGAGGCCAAAATATCCAGCGCACTCTACGACTGGAAACACGCAGAGGTAGAAAAGCCAACGGGAAAAATGGTGGAGGCAAAGCGAATGGCACTAAAACAGATTGCCCTTGACGAATGGGGCAAAAGGCTCAAGGAGCCCAGATACGGCATAGATGTTATCAGCGCAATTCAACCAATACTTAATAAATGGGTTAACAGGAAAAGCGGTGATTTAACTTTCAGGATGACACAGATAATTACAGGAGATGGATGCCTAGGGTGGTATCTAAATAAAATTGCGAGGCGGGAGCCCACTTCAGCATGCCATCAGTGTAACGCATGCAACAAGGACACAGCGCAACACCTGCTCGAAGAATGCCCTGCGTGGATCCACGAAAGGAACACACTCCAAATAACCATAGGAGACAACCTCACAATCAAAGGTATACTAAGCAGAATTGCAACAGAAGAGGAAAGCTGAAAAGCTTTTCAGGCTTTCTGCGAAGCAGTGATGCTCAAGAAAGAACAGGACGAGAGACGAAGAGAAGCCGAAACAAATGAGGAAATAAGAAGAAGAAGAAGAATCGCTAGAAGAACCATGCGTGCAGAGGTCAACATTTAGCCTGAGGTAAGAGCAAACTTATATCCCACGGGGAGATAGGTTCTCGAGAGCAATGCTGCTCAGGATAAGGTGGAAGTCGTGTCACAGTTCCCACCTCTCCTGACACCAAGCAGCTAGAGCATGCTCCGCTGAGTTTTAGTGAGTAGAAGTCTCACATAACCACTTGTCCTCCCCTTAGTAGGTAGGACTAGTGGTATCCATGAGGATTTCTCAGCGTTAACAAAAAAAAAAAAAAAGTATTGCAATACATCTAGGAACCTTTTCTTACCAAGTGTAAGGTAGTAAGGGGCACGTAACTTCAGTTACGCTCCAACCACACATGGCCAAAAATCAATTTAATATT